GGGTGGTTACGGGGTTGTGAACCAGGGCCAGGCCCCTCCCCAGCCACTGGGTGGCTGAGAGCTCCCAGCAAGAGGTCTGCGTTTATTTGAATGCTGGTGTGGGTTCAGACACAGGTGAACATCTCAAAGCCGACAGCTTGGGACCCCAGTCATGCCAAGCCCCGTGTCAGGCTCCTGCAGCCGGCCACGGAAAATCAGAGCCACAAGGTTCACACCACTCCAGTTTGGCTCCACGGCCACGTGCAGGAAACAGCCCCTCTGCACTCAGCAAGAGGTCTGCGTTTATTTGAATGCTGGTGTGGGTTCAGACACAGGTGAACATCTCAAAGCCGACAGCTTGGGACCCCAGTCATGCCAAGCCCCGTGTCAGGCTCCTGCAGCCGGCCACGGAAAATCAGAGCCACAAGGTTCACACCACTCCAGTTTGGCTCCACGGCCACGTGCAGGAAACAGCCCCTCTGCACTTGGCGGGCTGCTGCCTCCTGCCCTGCCTGGCACTATTAATATACAAAGGGAGTATTAAAGCTATTTACAGGAAAGAAATCTTCCTTAACCCAGCCTGTTGGGAACCGTAAGGGCATCGCCTCCAGGCTCTTCTGTAACTTTCGGTTTATATTTCAAGGAGTTATTTGTGCGTAGGTCCAGGAGCACAGGCGCAGCTGTACGTACATGGAAGAGTTACCTGCAATAACTGCCCCGACTCAGACTAGAGGATTTTTCACCATACTGGAAAAAATATCTTTGCAGGTGGTGTTACCAAGTGATGCTGGTGAAGGGCAGATACGTGCTCTTCTCGTTTGCCTGCAAGGAAGTGAGCATGCAGGTTGTCACACCGAAAGCTGAGCATGCTTCCAACTCTTTTGCATGATGAAAGCCTGCGCCTGCTCGTGGCACCCTGGCACCCTGCTCTCCCCCAAATCCAGCTCTGCGGTTGCTTTCCCTCCCAGAAAACTCACGAAGCCGTGTTGACCGACCGCGCTCTTGCACACACAGCGATGTCATGTAGCCTGTATAAGCAGGGAATATGCACGAGGTGTCTGATGCAATTTGACACTTTTTATTTAAAACCTATTTCAGCATCAGCAAATGCCAACTGATTAGCTGTTAGGTAGCAAATTATTTAGTGACTCTGGAAATATATTTAGTGAGGAGCGGCACTATTTTCCCTAATCGTCTGCCCCATGGAAATGAAGCTGAGCAACTGTCAGAACCAACACTAATAATGAACTTTCAAGGGTTTCTGCAGCACTCTGCCCTCTTACAGCTGCTCGCTAGCTTGCTTTCACTCGCTGCGGAGTGCAGTGCCCCAGGCTGGGGGTGGGATACGGGCCAGAGGATTTAAGCTCTCCCAGCGAGCACCCACAATTGGTCAGTGGGAGAGGAGTGCTGGGAAAACAATTTTATCTGCTGCATGTTTAACTTTACTTATCTGAAGCTTAAAGCAAACTCTAGGCTTTCCCCATCTGTCAATAAAGCTTCATATGGAAAGAACAACATAGGAAAATTTAGTGCCAACCCAGAAGGTCAGAGGATATATTGTGTTTAATTAGATTAGACAAGAAGTGACTGATGAGCTCAGTGCTCGCTGTACATTTTCCCTATAGCATATGGCATTCCTTTAACATCTGCTTGAAGGAGACGTGCCTTTCTGGGACTGCCTGTTGCCTCCCTTTCCCAGTGCAGACGCTGGTGGAATTTGACTGGTGTTTCTCCCCGTGCACGGAGCCAGCGGGGTGCTCTTCCCTTTCCATGCGTTGAGCCAGAGAGATAGGCAGTAACTTATTTAATTTGCTGAAATTATGGTTTCCTATGGTTTTACGGGACCAAACGTTCCTGGAAATAGCGGGAGCTGGACCTGTATTTCAGTGCTGTTTATTAACTAGAGCATGCACCATTAGAGGCAAGATTAGGCAGCTGGGGCAGGGGATAGGGAAGAGTGGGAGCAGCGTTAACAATTTTTCCCACTTCTGGAAAGAACTTCAGCCCCTTTCTCCCAGGAAGATCCCAA